CACTGGGTGGAAATATTTCAGAAGCCTTTAGGTGAGCATTTTCCTCAGTGTTTGAGCTTCAGCTAAACTTTTTAAAAACCACACACCTACCTGCAGCAGATTTTTCTAGCTGAAGGCTGCAATTCCTGGGTAGCAGCATGTAAAAGCTGGATGGATATCATGTAGCTGTGGAAAACCTTGGTGTGCCCTTTAGTTCATGCCCCCGAGGCCATCCCAGTTTGGATTAAGCATCAGGTTAGGTCAGGTTTGGATTAAGCATCCAAACTCATGGATCCAACTCATCCTTACAGCACAGTCAAGGATGAGTTAAAATTCTGTGGGGGGGAAATGTTTTCCTAAATGTTTGAATTAACTTCTAAGAGACAATACACAATTTTTTGAGATTAGGCCGAAATGTTCTGTAGTTCCTATCTTCAGAGGGATAATTGCAGGAGGTGTAATTGCAAACAAGTGAGGAGATGTGCTGCTGTTCTGTAGTACTGCCTGAAATAAATCACTCTTGATTTTTTCCCCCCTAGTGTAGAAATCTCAAAATAGCAAATTATCTGTTAACTAGTGCCTTGTTCAATGACTCTCTGGAGTATCAAAGATTCACACAGTATAACAAAATCCAGGATCATGGTGTTCTCAAATAAACTGACTTTGTTTTCTGTGAGCAGATGCAAATCTGATTCTAAGTCTGCTAATATCATAGAAGCCCCAAATAAACAAAGCTCTGTTTGAATGTTTAAATATTTCAAAGTCTGTTACACAGAGAGCTTAGTCTCCATTCAGTGTAGGAGCTGTGTGATCTCAAGTCCTGTGCCTGTATCTAGTTGTATGTATTTGTTCTTCCTAATGGAGAATTAAAATATCATAAATCCATGCTAATGACTGTGAGTCCTATTATGAATGATTCTAGTTTCTTTACTTCCTGATTAAGATAAAATACAGTAGTTTGTTCATTTTATTATAACTTAATTCTGGATTTAATTATTCATAAGATCACAACAAAAGGCAATTTATTTTGCAAATATGACCATTTAATAGTATGGCACTTCAGAAGAGCAATCTGATATTGAGTCTCTGGTGAAAAATGAGTAACTCATTTTTATTTGAATTATAAATCATGTAGATTACTACAATATAGATAAGTAAATTCTGTTCTGTTCTTGTGTTCTAGCAAGAGCAGCAAATATGTTTCAGCACTTGGTAAAATGAATGGAGTTTCCACCAAGGGAGTGAGTTAAAACTATGTTGAAAACGTATTTTATAGGAATGTTCTGTAATTATGTGGTACCAGGTGCATTTCCTGCCAGTTTAACTGCAGACATCATCCCTTTCATGTCAGAGAGCAACTCTTACACCTAGCACAGCTTTGGGGTGTATTTTAACACTGTCAATGTTCTGTGTAAAATGAAAGCATCACATAGACTGAAGGGCAGTTGCAGTCTGTTATGGTGCCATGTGCCCTGGTGTGAGAGCATGAATGGGGCAATGTGAGGGGACAGAAATTGCTTTGGTCATCCAAACCCCTCAGCAGCCTCTGGGGTGAGGGTGCAGTGGCTTCAAGTCTGGTTTGGGTTGTTTCTTCCCAGAGCCTCAAAGTGAACAAGGTAAAAGTCACAGAAGTGTGAAGTGCACCCTCTTTCCCCCCTCACTCTTCTTTTGGTTCAACATGTAAGTAGGAACTTGGGGTGGAGAGGAAGTTCCCTGTGCCATGATCTTGTCTGCAGCCCTTGCAGTGCTGGGATTCTTCTGCAGCATTTCCTTGCCTGACACCTCTCCCCTTCTTGTAACCCAGTGGAGTCTCACAGCTGGCGTTTATGGGCACAAAAAAGATGGGTTTGTCCTGGAAGTGCAACACTCTCTCTCAGTGACAACTAACAAACTGTTCCTATATTTTTTGGAGTTGCTGTTGATTGATGCACTAACAGAACTTGAGGAAGGGCCAGGGCTGAGTGTCCCCCAGGTGGCAGGGAGGGTAGGGGCTGATGCTCTGGGCTACAGGTGCCACTGGTTTGGGCACAGGTGGCTGCAGCTGTGTCTTGCTGCTGCTGTAATCTCCTCTGCTCACCTGTCCATCCAAGTTGGTGATGAGGAAGACACTTTTCTACAGACTCTTTTATATTTCAGAAAGGTGAAATGCTTTCACCAAGAAGTGTGGTTTGGAGATACTCAATGTTCCCATCTGCCCGTGAGTGTGGGCTCTGGATTGGAAACAGTTCCCACAGCACTTTGGCACAGGCAGGAGCAGAGCAGGAGGCTGCAGCCCCCACGGACCCCCCTCACTTCCACAGAGGCTCAGGCCTGGCCCTGAGCTTACATGCAGGAGGAGTGGGGACAATCCTACCTGTCTTGGACAGCACAGCTTAATTGTATGCAAAGACTATCCCCAAATTGTGTGTCACCTGACTACTGGACTGGTCAGCACTACTCAGCCAGATAAAAGTGTATTTTCAAAGGACTGTTGAGGCACTGCTATAGAGGGTGTGGAATGAACTCCATTGGGGATCAAAGAACACAGAATGAAACGGAATTTGGTCATTTTTCTCCTGTGAGATCTTGGTCAGTAATGGGACATGGATTCTTCCTTTCTCTCCCTCTTTTCTCCCTCCTGTTAGGTACAATTTCTAAAAGTTCTTATCTCATGAGTAGACATTTAATGATCTCAAGCACTGTATTTTCTGGGGTTGCATTTTCCTAGTTGCTTTTTATAAAGCAAACCATGCTGGTGAGAACTTTTCAGTTGCCAAAATCTAATGATATCTCCTAAATTAACTGTTGAAAGTATAAAGGAATTGCCTTCTGCTGCTGAGGTTTGTATTATTTAGGCTGGATGGGGCTCTGAGCAACCTGGACTAGTGGAAGGTGTCCCTGCCCAGGGCACAGGGTGGAATGAGATGAGCTTGAAAGCCCTTCCCATCCAAACCATTCTGGGATTCTATTTGTTTAAGTGCCAGTATTTTTTAACGCTGAAGACAACTCTGCACTTAAACTTGCTATCTAATGACTACTTTGCTTTACAAGACACTATAAAAAGTTCTCCTACTGTTGTTTGAAACACAGAATAGTTGCTGTAAGCCCATGACTCACTGTGGTCCCTTTCAGCCTTGCCCATTCTGTGATTCTGTGGGAGCAGAAAGGCAGTGGTAGCATAGACTGCCTCGGTTTCTCCTGCATTGTGCAGTGTGGAGACACAGATGTTTGAGATGTAGCTGTTTCTCAAAATGTTTCACTTAGAGTTACGTGTTACAGTTTAGCAAGGAAATATTATTTGACTTGGTACTGTGTACCAAATGCAGACAGAAGAAAGGATTCTGTGAACTTTTTCATCAAATCTGGCCTGCTGGAGGAGCTGCCAGCTTATGAGGCTGTTAACAGGCAGGAGGAGAGGGCTTGAGGTGACCACAGAGCTCCTCCTGTCAACCTGAATGCAGTTCCCTGTCAGATCAAAACTGTGCAAGGCCAGACCAGCAGAGATTGGCTCCCAAATATTTAGTTTTGTTGTCAGGAGATTGCTGTTCCCTCAGCAGTGCCATTCTCCAGCAATGGCATTTTTCCCAAAAAACTTGCAGAGAAAGAGGTTACTCTCTCTCACTGTCAGCAGAAGTGTTTCAGGAGGGATTTATCTAAAAACTGGCTGAGGGTTCTTAAAAATACCTAGTTCTGGAGTGTGGGGTGATGGGACTTGGGCAAGGAGTGCTCAGAGGTGGAGCTACCCAAGGTCCATTGCACCCACACATCTACAAATCAGCTTTGGGGTTGTTTTGTCTTCTTCCATCTTAATGGTTGTCTTATTCCATCTTAATGGTAACTCCAAACCATGCTATTGTCTGGCCTGGAAATATGAATAAAATGCTCAAGATGTTCCTTGTATCCATATAAATGGCTTCAAGAGGGACTGGAACACTTCTGATGAGCCAATGGAGAGAGAGTGGGTGCTGCTCCAATTCCTCATCACAGGGCCATGGACTCTGGAGAGACCCTGTGGGCTGCTATCCCATCCTTATTGTGTGTATTGACATGTATATCAGAATCACAGCCCCCAAGCACTTGTCACACGCCTCATGTCTCCTTAAAGGCATCTCTGAATCATTTTCTTTCCTAGTATCTGTGTAACTGTTCCCAAAGCACAAGCAGGTGCAGGAGAGATCTTCCTAGTGACCCAGCATGGTGCTTTCCAGCTGCTGCCAGGGAGCAGACTCCTGGCACACCAGCACTGCCGCAGTCAGATTGCATCAGTGTTTGGAGTGTGCACCCCAGCAGCATGGCAAGTGTCCCACCAGGAAGTAAACCTCTGTATAGACTCCAAAAATACTGTTTGTGCCCAGTGGGATGTGCCTTGAGCCTGTTCTGTATGGTAGGTGTGTAGGATGCTGCAAAATCGTATTTCGCTGTAACCTGCACATTTACATCTGAAGTGGAAATCTGCGAGGAAAAATGTAAAAACTAGTGCAGCATTCTACATGTTCATCTCTTTTATTGCATCTTGGTGCCAGTGTTTTACATGAGCTCATTAGCAGAGCCAGAGTTATGTCTCTCAAACCCTTTTCATTATAGTTTTGAGTCAGCTGAGCCCTCTCAGGCTTGGACACTCTCTGCTGGCCCAGCCTGTGGCAGTGAGGGCACTGTGACAGCAGCATAATAACTTATTAAATCAACTTGCATTAAGTGGCCAAGCATGATTTGTTAGGTTTTTTTTGTTCAGAGATGTCAAATGTGACATTTTCTCCAAACCACTTATGTCTTGTCTTGTATTTAAAACTCTAATTTCCTTCTGCTGTTCCTCCCTGAAAGACATTTCTAGGTGATTGATTACATGAAGATGCATCAGGTATCAGTTACCTCTTTTTTTTTTTTTTTGCATATAACCAAATGAAATGTGGAAAGAAAGGAAAAACAAATAAAAAAGCTGAATTATTGTTCTTTTGAGGATTTTCTCAATTAAGAAATCAAAGCTAAAACCAATCCATTCCATACAACAGCATCTGAAAAATCTGGGTGTATGTTCTATACAGGTTCCACCAAGGAGTTGATTGAGAGCTGCTGTGGGGCTGGACAACAGTGGGCTATAGACAACGGGGAGTGCACGGAAATCCCTGTAAGTGGAATGGATGGTGATATTTGCAGGTACGTAAGGCAAACCCAAACATTTCAGAATAACACAGAGAGCAGCCCTTGAGAAGGAATCAAATATAATTTGTGGGATGTCCAGGAGACTGGGAACTGTTTCGTTCACTGCCTAAATTATTACTAAAACTGCAGTATGTCATGGCAAATTAGATAGAAAGATTTCCCCCTCCCTCCCTTTCCCTAAAATCTAGTCTGAACAAAAACCTTTTAAGGGTCTTTCCCCCCTCCTGTAAGCAGAGCACAACTTTTTGTTCCCCAGTTTTAGGTGCATCTGTGGAGTGGCAGATAAGTAGAAGGGCAGAGCTTGGCTGTGGTTTGGCAAGTGGGAAATGCAGTGATTGTCGCCATCACTAAATGTGTGTTCGTTGTCCGGTGTGAATGGCTCCTGATTGTGGTGCTTGTGCTCAGCTGCAGGGGGACTGTGCACCCTAGTAATCCTGCTGGTGTCAGCAGCATCTGGGCTGAGGAGGGTGCCAAATTCAGACTGCACAGCAGGAGGGGAAGAATGGGTGCAAAGTAACATGGACTCAATATTCCACTAGCTGCAATTCGTCCCATTCCCTTCCTCCCGGTCTGAAAGAGGCCTTAGGGAGGGGTGAAGTCAAAGTTCCCCCAGACTCACATTCTCGGAGAATGATCCCAACATTTACAGCATGAAAAAAGATTGACAAAATCACTTTTATCAAATTTAGTATCATTGCACCTTTCTGAAGTTACTGGGAGATTAAAATCTCTCCACTGGGATCTGCCATGACATAACTGACACATACCAACTGTCTGTGAAGTAAAGACCGATTAAAAAATTCCAGCCTTGGCCTAAGTAGGTGCAAATCCAATGCATTAATGAGTTGCACCTGCACATCTGAGGCTGGGTTTAGATGAAAAAGCCAGATCCTAAATGTGTCAGTCCCTGTGAATCTATTGGGATTTAAAGGAGTAAGAGATCAGGAGTTCAATTGTTTCCTTCTAAAATTTCAGTTGTGTCCCTGTTTTAAAGATTTAAAACCACCTATAAATATTCTGTAAAAAGACAACACTTAATATAAAAATGTATTCAGCTATGTGGCCTCAGGCCCTGGAACAAACCCTTGCCGTGGCCCCGGGGGGATGTGCCAGTGTGCAGAGCTGGTCATCCTGCACCTATCCAACCCCCAGGGCACCGGCTGGGTACCAGAATGCCTGCAAGTACTGCAGGCTCCCAGGAGATGCCTCTAACTCAGCTCACTGGCTAAAGATTTTAAATAGTAGAATCACAGAATCCCAGAATGGTTTGGGCTGGAAGGGCCTTGAAGCTCATCTTGTTCCACCTCCTGCCATGGACAGGGATACCTTCCACTAGACCAGGTTGCTCTAAATACCATCCAACCTGGCCTTGAACACTTCCAGGCATGAGGATAGACTGAAGGTAGATGTTGACTGCAAAAATTCCCTTTCCACCCCGATACTTTTCTCTAAATATTTGGATTTACAGGTGACCATCACTGTGCCAAAGGATTGATTTTCTCAGCTAAGGCAAACAAATGAAGCCTCTACTGTGTCTGCTGGACATTGTGTGTATAGAGGATGCAGACTGAGGTGTCTGTTGTTCCAAGTGCCATTTTGGCACTTTCAAGTGGCAAAAACTTAAATGTGAAAGCTACTTGTCGATGTATCTTGCCATCTCTGTACCAACTTGTACCATTCATGTACCAACTTGTCCTGTCTCTGTGTAGTGACCACAGCACTACTGCAGAATGGACACCGGGGCTGCCTAGAAGAGATCATGTTCAGTAACTTGATGTCTGAACTCAAAAAAAGTTCTAGGGAATCTTCAGATAATCAGTTGATAATCAGATGTAAAAATACTCCCAGAGCTTGTACCACTGCTTGTATCAGAGATAAGATGTTAGGCCAGATGAAATCTCTTCTGACCCAGTACAGTACTTTTTATCTTATAATTGATAGGTTTTATCATAACAGAGGAATGCTTATCTGGGTGGTATTTGCATTAGCTGTCCAAGCATGGATCCTGCTCTTTGCTGACACTGTGTCCCAATTAAAGACTCACATCAGTTTAGTGCATTGATGTCATTTCACCAATCTTAACTCATTTACGCTTTCCCTGAATCAGAAATGTTCAGAATCTTCTTGAACCAACAGCTCATTTATCTGCTCTGCAAAGAGTAGGTTTGTGAACAAGAGACAACAAGAGAATGTGGTTAACAGTTTGTTCCCAGTTCATTTTCTGGTAATAGGGGAGCTGAAACTGAGCTGTGCCAATAGGTGACAAATACTAAAATAAAGAGTGGCCAGTGGTGCTCCAGTGCTCCAGGAATTTCTCATGGCTAAATGTCACGTTTCAGAATAATATAAATCCATAGAGATTTCAGTGTTTACATACAGTAAATACTCTGTGCATGCAAAAATGCTTCTAGTAGCATTTTGTCATTTCTGCAAACAATAATAGCTTTTGGTTGCTTTTGAGGGTCTTTTTTTTACTTTTTATTGAAAGTTTGGATGTCTTATGTAAGCAATAATAGTTCAGTTACTGTTACTTGAATCCACTTGGGTAATAACCATTCATTGCTCAAAAATTGTATTTCTCCAGTTGGCAATTAATACTGGATTAGAAAACTCACTTTCTTGAAAATAAAGCCCATGGAGGTGGTAATCCTCTTCCTGTAATCCAGCTCAAATCAGTTTCCTGGTTGCACCTCTCTTGTGCTATCCTGCACCAAAATATTAGCATAAAGCTGACACGACAGGCCACTTGTACCAGGAAAACAGCCAAGTGGCTCTCACTGCCAGCTTTCCACTGGGGTAAGAGAGATCCCTTTCCTTTTTTACCTCAATGGCCCAATCTACAGGTCACTCAACATAACCTCCTCAGGAGAATTCTTGTGGCCTGCAGCTCTCAGTCCTCACCCTTCCCCATCACAGGGTCTCTTCCCTATCCCAGAACCAGACACACACCCCTTCTGGGATGCTGCATGGATTCAGAGACAGTGTCATGGATCAGTGATCTTAAAGGTCTTTTCCAATCTAAAAGAGTAAAGCCAAAGGCACTGTGGGCTTTTATCTGCCCTTTTGTGTATGAATGAAAGAAGCACATGGTAGGGAAGAGTATTTTATTTCCATGAACATCTATTAAAATTCATTTAGGAATTTGACATTTACATTTTTCTTCTGTTTTGTGTCAGCCTTCAGTGAATCTTGTTAAGATGTTTGATTTGAAGCACCACATCTGGCAAATGTATGTTCCCAAAGTACTTCATGTATCAGGCCATCCATAACCTTCTCTTGATAACCAAAGTTAGAGGAAAGTTTAAATTCTGGGTGACACTCCACAGGGCCATAAAGGAGAGTTTGTAGGAGTTTTGTGATGTGATGCTCTCCTCAAGCCCTGTCCAGGGCTTCAGTCCTCTGGCTGGTGAAGAAAAAAGTGTGTACAGGTGTGTTTCCCTTTCCTCACTTTCCAGAGGAGAAGGTTTCTGGTTTTTTGTGTCTTGTTTTTGAAATCGTCTGAAGACTTCTGAGAAGCAAAACATGAGGAAGAGGGACTGTTACACAAATAATGATGAGCTTTTACTAGAAATAAAATGCATCCTGCTAAGGTCAGTAGCACCTTCTGTATTGCACTAATATTCATAGAATCACAGAATCATTAAGGTTGGAAAATATCTCTAAGATCATAGAGTTCAGCTGCTAACCCAGCACTGCCAGGTCCACCACTAGACCATATCCCTAAGCACCGCAACCACACGTTTTTTGAATACTGCCAGAGATGGTGACTCCACCACTGCCCTGGGCAGCCTGTGCCAGTGCCTGACCACTCTTTCAGGTCATTTTTCATGTATATTTTCCTCATATACAATCTAAACCTCCTCTGGTGCCCTTGAAGCCATTTCCCCTTGTCCTGTCTATTGTTACCTGGCAGAAGAGCTTGACCCCTGTGTGTCCACAATGTCCTTTCAGGTAGATACAGATTGATAAGGTCTCCCCTGAGTTTCCTTTTCTCTAGGCTGAGCCCCCACAGCTCCCTCAGCCACTCCTCATACGACTTACTCTCCAGACCCTTCCCCAGCTCTGTTCCCTTCTCTGGACACTCTCTAGCCCCTCAACGTCTTGTTGTGAGAGGCCAAAACTGCCCCCAGGATTTGAGGTGTCTGAACAGTGCCCAGCACAAGGGATGGTCACTGCCCTGTCCTGCTGGTCACACCAGCACAAACCAGAATGCTGTTGGGATATTGATACATGTCAAAGAGAGACCAAATCTATGGGGTGTATTATGAATCTGGTAGCTCTGGGGTTTTTTTGCATGCCATGCTGATGTCTTCTCAGTGTCAGTGAAGGCCTGACTCAGTGATCCCTTGCAGGATTGCTCAGAAGCAGTGCTGTGTCTCCACGGTGAAGGAGAACAGCTGCCTGGCTGGCATGATCGCGGCCAAGGAGGGCGACGCGTGCGGCCCAGAGGAGAGCGATCCCTGTGGGGGGTCGTCATACAAGGTAAGCTGCTCTGATGCTTCCAGAGGCTTTGTTCTGAGTATGAGGTGGCCTCATTTCCTGACTTAGCAGTAGTTTTTTCGTGCATTATTGAGCACAGAACAGATGAAGTTGCAGGAATGTGGCAGGGAAATTACACTGTTTGCATTTAGGTTTGCAGCCCCATTTAAAAATCACAGTAATGTTGTTTTGAATTATTTCCATCTCCATTTTATGGACTTAACTGACTGTATTAGTTTTGCTTCCTACTTTGGAAGTAACAGAAAAGTCCATTTGAGTTTTTATATCTATGATGTGGAAGAATTTAGAAAATGATGGGGCAAAACTTAATCAAAGATATAATGCAAAACCCATTAGTGGACAGTTTGCTTGGCCCCAGTGTTGAATTGTGGGCCCATTCCTCAGTTAAACACAATGATGGACTAGAGGAACAAACATTTGGATGATGATGGAAGCTTTGCTCCATAAATAAAGGCAGACCATTAACCAGTGGTGCAAATCACAAATCCTGGGAACATCCTGTACCCAGATAAATGAGATTTGCTTTATGAGCATCAGTGGCGCCAAACCAATTTACACCAGTTTGAAGATTCAGCAACTTGCTTGCTCACTTGTCTTGTTCTCACCAGAAGGGTGCACTTTGGGATTCATTTCCCTCTGATAATAATTTACATAGCTAGAGCTATGCTTAATGCAGCTTCCATTGTCTCAAAACCTGATTAGTCCTTGTGCATTGGTGGTTCTCCCAGATAATTGTTCACTGGAAAAGCAAAATACATGGGCATCTACTGCGGAGTTTAAAGTTTAATTAGCTATGCTGATTTGTCATTTTGAGAACTGTTACTTGTTTGAGTCTGAAGTCTATCCTTAGAGTAAAAACAGAATTGGTGCCTTTGGGAGAAGATATTAATATGTTCAAAATGTGACAGAATTTTGGTGGTTCTCCCAGATAATTGTTCACTGGAAAAGCAAAATACATGGGCATCTACTGCGGAGTTTAAAGTTTAATTAGCTATGCTGATTTGTCATTTTGAGAACTGTTACTTGTTTGAGTCTGAAGTCTATCCTTAGAGTAAAAACAGAATTGGTGCCTTTGGGAGAAGATATTAATATGTTCAAAATGTGACAGAATTATTATCCTTAGGCTTTCACCTTGGGCCGTTTGTATGCCAGGCAGAGCCCAAGCTGTAGAGTAAGTGATTACACATGCTATTCCTCAGAAAGAACTGGAGGGGGATAACTCCATCATTCTTGGAACTGCAGCAAGTGACAAATTTCTCTCATGGAGTGGTTCCTCATCCCAGTTTCAATGTGATGTTTTCCTTCAAGAGAAACCATCTGAAATAGTAAAATTACCAAGGGAACAGCTTTGCTCACCTGTTTAGCCCATTTAGCTCTTTAGTCATTGCAGCTACTGCTTGACAAAACGAATCAAAATGAATAAACATTGAGACTGTTGAGCCTTTAAGAAAGGCTTTTAAATTTCATTGTGGTTAAACACTC